GAGTGTCCATGGGGGTCCCCGGAGGGCTCAGCACGCCCCCACGGCGCGGACCAGGAAGCCGAAAGCGGCCGCGGGCGGCCCCGAGCAGCGTCCCGGAGGCCCCGGGGGCAGCGGCGGCGCCTCCGCCTCCAGCCGAGCCCGTTTGCTCGGTACCGGCCCCGGTCCCGGCTCCGCTGAGCCGCTGCTCCGTCGCTTCTGCCCGGCCCGGGGAGCTCCGGCGGGCTGGGGAGGGGTGGGGGCAGCGCTCGGGGGGTCCCGGTCCCGGTTCGCGGGGTCCGGAACGGTCCGTAGGGCCGGGTTGGCTCCGGTTGGGGGGCTCGGGGGCTTCTCGGTCGGTCGGCCGGGGGGGCACCCCCGATCCCGTTCACTGCAGGGGGCTCCGGTCGGTCGGTTCGGGTGGTTCCCGGTCCAGTCCCTCGGGGGGTTCCCCCATTCCTGCTCGGTACCGGGGGTCGCTCGGTTCGGGCGTTCCCCGGTGGGTTCGTTCGGGCCCTGGGCGTTGCGGGGGTCGCCGCTGGGGTCCCCCCCCGTTTCGGGAGTCGCTCCGCAGGGCTCAGCCGGTGCCGGGGGGGTCTCGGCGGCGGCGCGGGCGCTCAGGTAGCGGTGCCGGGCGGCGCGGACGAGCAACGAGAGCTGCAGGCTCCGGTGCAGCCGGAGGCCGCCCCGCCGCACCCGGCACCGGTAAAGCTTCCACACCGACACCGTCAGCAGCCGCTGCGCCTCCTCCATGGCCGGGACTGAGCCGGGACGGCCCCGCAGCGCTTCTTGTCCCCCCCCCCCCCCCGGTCCTGCCCCCGCTCCGCCACCGCATCCGGCCCCGGGGCGGCTCCGAGCGCCTCGGCGGCGCCGGGGACGGAAATGGGTCCGGGGGGGGCCGTGCCCGAAGGGAGGGGGCCGGAATTCCCATGAAAAGGGGTTGGGGACGGGGCTGGAATTCCCGTGGAATTGAGGGGAGGAGGCTGGAATTCCCCTGGAAATGCGGGGGGACGGGGCTGGAATTCCCGTGGAATTAGGGAGGAGTGTCTCTGTACCCCCCCATGGATTGGGGTTCCGTGTGACCCCTCCCTCCCAGATTGGGTGGGGGTCCCTGTGGCATCCCCCCGGTTTGAGGGGGGTCCGTGCGCTGCCTGCCATGTTCCTGGGGGGAGGGGGGGTCTCTGTTCCCCTCCGTGTGTTGGGGCTCCCTGTGCCCCCCATGTGTGGGGCGGTTTCCATATCCTGGGGGGGTGTCCCCGTGTCCCCCCCGTGTGTTGGGGGCTCCCTGTGCCCCCCAAGTGTGTTGGGGGGTCCCCGTGTCCCCCCCGTGTCCCCCCTCCCCGCGTTTCCCGGGGATCCCCGGCCCCGCCCCCGCCGTTTCCATGCCCATATAAGGGAACGGTGACGCCACAGGGGGAAAGGGGCGTGGCCGCGCTCG